AAAATTCTGCTTTCAAACATGTGATGGAAATATTATTCAGCTGTTACAGAATTTTGGTGAAATCTTGTTAATTGGTCAGTTTGATTGTGAACCCTGGCATCCTGACCTTTGGGACTTGCTTCATTTCATTTGTAAAAGACATAAGAACCCTCAAGACCCATCAGTGATAAAAATGGCCTTGATGTGGCTTGAGAATTACCTCCGATACAGTAACTGAATTGGATGCAGAACAAAAGCAGCAAAAAATAATGTGGGTTGTTGTACTGGTAAACTTCCAGTACAGCTATAGCAGGGAGAGAACATTTCCAAGTAAGGTACTGTGAACTGTTAAATGTCGTCCCTTGGTTTGCATCATCCAGGTGGTTCTGTATGACCTTGGGCCCAGCACAGAGTTCTGCATTATCTTGCTAGTCTGTATGTTCATCCCATATATATTTGCATGTGTTTATTTATCTATCACTTTATAAATGTGCATATATGCACACACATACTGCTGCATTCACCTGTGGATAATAGCTGGCAGTTTACGGTAGGTGTACTGGTGCCCTTTGTGTAAGAGATGTAGGCTAATAAAGTTGGTGCAAGATAATGTGTCAGTCCTTCTGTAGCTGTAGAATAAACTATAGCAAAAACTCTGTATGTCAGTACATAGAAGAAATATATAAAGAGGGTCGAGTGGTAAGTAAAATAATCGCTTGGGAGGTGCTGTGCTATGTAGGAGGTCAAGACCCCTGCTCATTTGCCCTTCTTCTGTTGGGAGTAGAGTCTGATTTGCTACTAGAGTACTATTCTCTGCTGTTAAGTGTTGTGAATAACAAGCTTTCACTTTAGAAAAAAATTAGAATAGTTCATACAATTGTCTTTACTGTTTTCTGTTAAAACTAACATGTTATTAAAGCACTGTTATTGTCAAAGTATTTGTTAGTCTTCTCCAAAGAAATACAACTTTTAGAAATAGCAGCTGACATCTGATTAAAAGAGTGGGTAGAAATTACATGAAAACTCAGTACTGCATGCAAAATCACACTTATTTTCATAGGCCTGAAACATCTTTTCACTTCCTAATTTCAGGCTTGTTTTGCTGTGTCAACAGCTAGTGAAATCCATGTTCATGCAGCTTGAACTAGTTCTGTCCTGTTTATTTGTGTAACAGAAGAACAAAGCATTGTTTAATAAACATTCCAAGAGCATGATAACGTCAACATTACCTGCTTGCCCCATTGTGCAAAGACAACTTTATTGGAAATATTCTAGGACTTTCTTAAGGTGAAAGGCTTTTATGGCTTGTCAAAATCAGACTCAGAGTCTCTACTTGCTTATAAAAGGCATCTTGGTGTTTTATTATTATTAAAAAAAAACACCCCACATTTAAGGAATTATTTCCTCATTGAACTGTATGGCAGCATTTTGCGCCCTCCCCTCAAGTGCCAGATAATGTAGACAAGAGTATAGGTATGAAAAATGCTCTGAAATTGCTTCTTGCCCTACACATAATACAATACTTGAATTACTTTTTTCCTTAGTTTCTATAACTTATGAAAATGCAGTCTCAGTAGCTTCTGTCAAAATGAAAATGAGTGACACGTGAACTATTGTGGACAAGTCTTGCGGTAAAAAGTAGATAGTAAAACATTGACTGGTAGGCAGAATTCATTTTTGTTGTATCTGAGAGACTGTTAGGGTATAGAAAGTATCTCTCACTCCTGAGTACTGGCTTCCCCTATTACATTATTTTCACCTCAGAAAATTTTAAGTGTAAAATTTGTCCAGCAGTTGGTTTTCTGCTCTTGTTTTAGAGAAATGTCTTTATAGGATACTGCTGCTTAGAAACATCATTTGTAGCTGGAGTCAGGGTTCCAGTGAGTGTTTATGAAGATGTGACTTCTCTACGTGGAAACAGTTTAATAGGCAAGTTGCAGTGGGGACAACAAAGAACCAAAGGAAGGACACCTTAGGAGAAGTGGAATACTCAAGCTTCCCTCTCAAAGTGTCTGGTCATTGTGAGGTTTAATGGGATTGGGATGGTAGGCAACAGTAGAAAAGGGAGCCTGTTCCCGTTTCATTTGCCAGACAGCTCAGTTACCTTCTATTCAAACACTTTTTGAAAATAAAAAACCATAGTTTCCTTCCCCTCTGCATCCCTTGCCTTTTGTCTTTGAAATTGTGGTTCTCCTGCAGGTGAGTATTGACTAAAAGTAACCTCCAAGTCATCATCCTTATGCTTAGCTGTGGTTATATGTGGAAGCTCTTTGAAAATGCTTTGTTTTTCCTTTCTACCTCTTTGGGGACAGATCAGCTCCATAGGCTTAAGAGCTAGTCAGTGGTTCTGCAGCTTATTGGGAATTGGGAAGCCAATGTGACCCAGTATACTCTAATCCATCTGAATAGATTGATGTCAGAAGTGATTCTTTTTTTCCTGAATGTCAATTTTTTTCAGGTAATGTGGAGAATTACCAGAACATAAAGATGGAATGACTGTTTTTTTCTTCCAAGAGTAAGATTTTAAAAGGGTACTTCTCTCGCCCCACCCTGATCTGGTTTCTTACAAGTGCACTTATAATTAATTGTTAGAAATGAGAACTGCTAGGATGAGAAGGTATTCCCCAACTTTTCTTCAGGAAGTTCATCCCTGATTTTACAAATTTTTTTAAACACACAGCATATGAGATTGGGCAAGAAACGGGTATTAAACATAAAATAATAGCCATGTTTAAACGTAGCGAAAGGGAGGAGGAGCTCTTGGCCAAGGGTTTATATTCATAAAGGGGTTATTTTCAGGAAATGGCAAGTCTAGGAAGTTTACACACCTCTGTGTAACTGTGAACTACTGCTGTCCGGCACAGCCTGGGTTAACAGGAGATAGCCTGAGTTTTGATACTGTTTTAAGTCCTTGTGCCTTATACGTTGGTGAATGTACCAGTTCTTAAAGACTCCAGTGTGTAGTCTTTGACAGTTACTTTAGAGTTCTTCCAGTGCAAAATGCCAAGTGTACTCTGGACTCTTTTTTTATATATTAAAACTGGTCAAGTACTTGCTCTCATTAAGATGGTTAGTTTATGAACTTCGGGATTCCTGCT